AGCCAGAGGCTGTTGGGGTTGGTTCTGCAACGTCCTGTAAAGAATGTCAATCTATTGGCCACTTTAAAGTTTACCTACCTTTGGTTCGGTTTTTTATCTTTCCATGAAAAAGTTTACAGTTCTCTGTTGTTAGTATTATCACTTGCTTGTATAAATATTTATAATTGTCACAGGAAGACTGAGGATAATTTTGTGTGCATAGTTAAATGCATATACAGTGCAGGCCTGATAAGGAAAACTCACGGGGACCCAAGAAATAGTTCCTCTTATCCAAATAAGAATCCCAGCAAGAAACATTGCCAGGGATAACAAAATGTTCTTTACAACAGAAATTTGCCTGCCACATCCTTTCTTTCAGCACATCATAGTCCACAAATACAGCCTCAGAAAGGGCTATGTAATCATTAGCCTTTTATCACAAACAACATTTTGAGTATATGCTAAAACTATGAATATAGTTTAATATCTTATGTGATAACATTTTATGATTTGACAAGCTGAGCTGTGCAAAAATGATGAATAACCAAATGAGGATTTGAGTGAATAAGGAGGAAAACAAGAGAAGATGAAGGAAAAAAGAAGCCTAACATGATGAGTGCAGCAAACATAAAAACTGCGTCTTACCAAGTTTTGGGGTTTTCTGAAGGAAGCATACAATTCTAACTGTTCCTCTAGCACAACGGTTCTCAACCTTCCTAATGCTGCAACCCTTTAATACATTTCCCCATGTTGTGTGACCCCTCCCACCCCAAATTATTTTTGTTCCTACTTCTTAACTTCAGTGAATATGTGTTTTCCGATGGTCTTAGGCGACCACTGTGAAAGGATCATTTGACCCCCAAAGGGATCGCAACCCTCAGGTTAAGAACTGCTGTTCTAGTAGATCAAGAAAACATGACTTGACGAACGAGCAGTCTGTTCTCTATCTCAGGTGAGGTAGGGTGTTGAATGTTTTAGCTGCATCTCTGTAAGAGCTCAGCATGCCCTATTTGTTTTCTACAAGACACTTGCTTTTTGTGCACTTGCAGATTTAACTCAGTTTATGATAAATAAAAGAAGAGGATACATTCAGCCTTTATTCAATGAAAATGAAGTTCACTTCATCAAATAAAACCCACTTACTCTTTGTTGTCTCCTGTGGTTCCTCACATGTCCTCGCAATTCAAATTATTTTTGGCTTCAATTTTCTTTCCACCTTTTACATTCCATTTCTTTTGCCCTTTGTTTCCATTGGACACGCTTTATCTATTCCTACTAAAGAAATAAATCCCCTGAACTAACTAGGAAGCTCAGCGAAGGTAGGAAAAAGGGGGTTAAATAGTTAATTAGAAAAAGTCATTATTAAATCACCTTTTATGACATGCTAATTAAGAAAGTAGCAGTGGGTCTATAAACCCCCTTCCCCCCCCCCCCCCCCCCCCCCCCCCCCCCCCCCCCCCCCCCACTGAATAAAAAAATTTAGAAACAAAAAATGGGCCCAAAACCTGCATGGGGAATATAGGGGAATGAATGTTTGTAATTTATTAGTAATATTTTCTCCAGGGTATGCCAGTGTGTTGGGAAATGAGCAGGCAGATAGGCTGGCTGGCTCTGCACCACTTGGTGGTGAATTGATGAATGACTAGTTAGATATTGTGAGGGCATTCTGGGAGCAAGTGAACGAGGAGTTACCAGGGAATCTCAACACTCAGGGGAAGGATGAGACAGATATACAATCAGATGATTACTAGTACCATCTGGAATTGGAACTCATCGCTTGCTGCTGAAAATGGGAACTGAGCACTTAAAGAAGTGTCCCGAGTGCTGTGATGTCAATTCCTTATTCAACATTCAATTCATTAGTAACTGTTTCATCATTCTAATGTCATGAATTAACAGTTTTTATAATACAACAGCAGACTATAATCTACATCAATAACATGATGGGTAAGAAATATACACCTCAAAAGTAAAATTACTCTACTTGGGAATTGTGAAAAGGATGTAACATCAAGAATAAACAAAGCTAACAAAGCATCTGCCATGCTTAATAATATATGTAAGTCAAATGTACTTTCTTTGAAGATTATACAAGAACAACATTTTGAAATACTTGTAAGTACACAACAATGAGTGTTGGAAAATGATAACAGGAATTACACATAGAGAAATTTCAAAATAAATGTCTAAGAAAAATCCTGCTAATTTTTGGGCCAAACAAAATCACAAATGAAGGACTGAGGAGGAAGACAACAATTTTCATCATTGGCAAACATTATCAAAGGAAGATGGAGATGGCTTGGACATGTCTGCATAATGACTGAAACTTTGGCAAGGGACAGCTCCCTGATGGACAGCAAATGAAAAAAGGAGATGTGGATGACCATAGGAAACCTGAAGAAGGATAGTAGAAAGGGAAATGAAGGATATACAATTACATGGGGGACCATAGACCAAAAAAAAAAACAGCAGACTAGCAGCAATGGAGATTACTTGTGATATCGTATGAGGCATAGTCAGGAAGAGAATTAAGACAGATAGCAGACTATATAATCTACACATACAATATCTCCCTAAAAAAAAATGTCTACGTTAACTTGAAGGTTAAATATCCGAACCCCAGTTTAAAAACCCTTCTGTAAGAAAGTCCTGACAAGTTTTCTATTTACTGTTTACATATATAAGAAATTAGAGCTTTGTCATGAAACAAATATGTACTCTCCCTTGCACTGAATTTACACAGCAGCAACAAATAAAGTGGTTCTCCATTATTGTGACAATGAAGTCCATCCGCTATTCTTTCATAATGACAATTTACAGAAGCTCTGGTATAAAGCTAAAACTCAATACAGTCCAGGTGTTGCATTCGGCTCCAGATAAAAGATGTCAATTTCTCTCTACTGTAACATTGACACCTGGGTGGCTGATTAGTCAGCCAATGGACCATTTGATCACCAATAGGATAACTGGTCAGGAGCAGTCATCACATCACTACTGCAAAAGCCTTTATCAGGGTTACTTGGTGGCGAGCATTTATTAGCCATTAATGTGGCGCAAATAAACTCAGAACACGATATAATTGATGGCTTCCCCCTCGGGGGTAGCTGGCTGAACATAGCCAAGTTTTTTTTTTTTTTTTTAAACTTGGAATCTAGTGTAACAGCAGCCTAGGCTAGCTAGCAGCAGTCTGAACGTGGTCGAGCTTTTCTTTTTTTTCTCAAAAGGACTTGGACTTGGACGTGTAACAGCAAAATCAGAACTCAAGTCATCATCCACATATGTACAGATTTTTACATAATAAGGTGATAAACACAAGAACACAAAGAAAACATCATATTTCACTTGTACTATAAAATTGAGAACTGTGACATTTAATGCAAGATTGGTTAGTTAGTTAGTTAGTTGGGTTATCCTCATTGCACTCCGGACATGTCCATAGGTGCTCAGATCCTCCCCTCAGTATGAACCCCAACGTCCGATGGCTAATAGTACCAGTTCTATGTTGATTAACAAGTCTTCTAGCGTGTCTGGTGTGCGTCTCGTTTTTTGCTGTGCCGATCTTAATTCCCAAGTCTGCCATTCTGGCGAGTGATGTGGATTCACTGCCACCAAAGTCCTCTATCCTTTCCATTTCTCTGAGGGCATTGATAATATCAGCATGATCCATAGGCTGACCGTCGGTAGTGATAGCGGATCCAGCCAACCTGTCAGCTCTTTCATTTCCATCGACGCCTGCGTGTCCCGGAACAAAAATAAAGGTGACTCCACGCACAGTGGACTTCTGTAATGATTCAAGCCATTGTCTTCGCACAGAACCTGCTTGAACCCTCCGGATCATACTCATTGAATCACTGAGTATACACACGCGGGTGTATTTTTGTGTTTCAAGCCAGGCAAGCGCTTGCGTCACTGCCATCACCTTCATCGTCATGCTGCTGGTTGTCATGGAGAAGGTGCCGTTGGCTTCTTTGACTGTTCTGCCCGCTGAGCGTGCTGTAAATGCCCATGCGCTTCTTCTTTGGCGTATTTTTTAATGCAAGATATACCTATTAAATAAACTACAGAAAGCAACATAAGTCCTAAACAGGTTGAATGAAGAGAAAGACGAAATTATCACTTGGAATAAACGAAAACAAAGACTATAAAATAAGATATAGCGGTCAAAGCAAATGTAGTCAGTCACGAAAGAATGTACGATGTTTCTCATAATATTTGATGAAGTAAACGAAAAGGTCAAATTAAAAAGCTGTTTTAATAGCATATAAACCTCTTAATATTGTGATGAAACAACAAACTGATTTATCAGTACGAATATTTTCACATGACTACAAAAGTACACAACTTTTATGGTAATTTTTCTAAATGTTAACATTTTGACTATTTACTTGGCCAGTGCTAATTAAGTACATGAAAATAATTTCAAAATCAGTGTCACAAAAATACACTCATTCAAGACAACAATTAAATTGTAGATAATTACACTGTACATACATTCACACATAAGAACGTGTTAACAGCAAAACACACAAAAATATTTAAGCAAAAAATAGTTTTTTTTATAATATTTAACTCCTTGAGTCCATTTTACGTTCATAGGTTCCTACATAGAAGCCCAGAAAACGCCAAGATGCGCCGATTTTACGTCTCTCTTTACTACCCCTTGGGCCTGGGATTCTAAACCCTCTGGGACTCAAATAGTTAATTAAGCATGCCTGCACGCACGCACACACACACAAGAAACAATACAAATCACAAACAAATTAAGACATATGGAACATTTAACTTACACTTAAAAAATAAAGTCACAAACATTAAAACTGCTCTCAGTCATGTTCCTATTCCTCATAATAATAAGTATAACTCCACAGATAAAACAGCATACCTTTTTTACGGTGTACATATTATCAAACGTCAGTCACACAGGAACTACCGTCTCTCAAAAAATCATGAGTACATTTTTTCTTTAAAAATAATAATAAATAAAACACTAGCAAACAAGTGTAAATAAATGTTGTATGAGTTCATCGTTTGGACTTTGCATGCTGGATCAACCACTGAAGTGTGATATCTGAAAAGAAAAAGAAAAATCTGAGATTTATACCCAAACACTCTTCTTCTTCAGTATTACAAGCGATTTGCGAATCAGCCATGTGCACATGCGGACTGGCACCTGAGACAACGGATAACATGCTCCAAGACTGTCCCAGAGAGATGCTGGTGGGAGCCAAACTTTATGGGTGGCTAAATGAATTACAAAAGACAGTGAATTTCATACTAGAGACAGGACTGCAGATATAGACAATTTATTTCAAGCAAACAAAAGAAGTATTCCAAGCCAGGTTCACTGCTGCAGATATCACCCGTCTCAAATAATCTCTGTGACTGATCTTCTCTTTTTATTGGTGACACCAAGTGTTTGTAGGTCTGTCTGTATATTATCTCTCCACTGTCTTCTTGGTCTGCTTTTCTTTCCACGATCATCTTGGTCTGCCTCATGGTCTACTTCTATTCAATTCTTTTGGTGCCCAGTTTCTGTCCCTGTTATCTGCCATTTTCTCTAAATGACCAAACCATTGCAGTCTATTAGCAACTATCATGCAAATAGAATGTTGAATTAAGAATTGTCATCACAGCACTGGACACTCCCATAAGTGCTCAGTTCCCATTTTCAGCAGCAAGCGAAGAGTTCCAACTCCGATGGTACCAGTAACCATCTGATGGTATATCCGTCTCATCCTTCCCCTGAGTGTTGAGCATCAGCCAGATCACCTGGTAACTCCTCGCAGCGCCATTCTCCTCAGACCGTAATGACCTATCTGCCCCTCTGCACTGTTCACCCATTCCCAAAGGGTCCTCACAATATCTAACTTGTTATACATCAAATCACCACTAAGTGGTGCAGAGCCAGTCAGCCTGCTCATTTCACAAAACACCTGCAGAAAATATGCAAAGGATGCTAACTACCTGAGACCTCTAAAGTGATGCTTGTCACTCTACATGAAGCATGCCTGTTTTCATTTTTTCAACATGCTCTGTGAGTCAGCTACAATTACGGCATGTGCAGCAGAGACTGCCTCCACCTCCATTCTCAAACACTGTGATATCATATGCAAGGCCTTGCTGCACTAGGCGACGTCCATTCGCCTTTGCAATGAAACCCCATGCACTTCGTCTGCCCCTCAACACAGAGCCATCTGAACAGATAATCACTGGGTGGGAATTGTCATAAATCATTTGTTGAACTTCCGATTTTGCAGCACCAGCTGGCCAGTCCCTGCACTCACAACCTTACGTGATTAGAATCCTACACAAGCCTGACACTTGTTGCAAGTAATTAGCGGTGAGTTCGGTTTTAAATTTCCCATGTTATTATCTGTGATGGGTCCAAACATATATAAGAATAAATAAACATTGAATTCTTTCTTTTTTCTTTTTTTTTCTGTTTGTGATAGGGGAAATGAAGTGGGATAGGAGAAATGAAGTGGGAAATGAGAAATGAAGTGGGAAAGGGGAAATGAAGTGGAATAGGGGAAATGAAGTGAGACAGGGGAAATGACATGGGATAGGGGAAATGAAGTGAGATAGGGGAAATGAAGTGAGATATGGGAAATGAAGTGAGATAGGGGAAATGAAGTGAGATAGGGGAAATGAAGTGAGATAGGGGAAATGAAGTAGGATAGGGGAAATGAAGTGGGATAAGGGAAATGAAGAAGGATAGGGGAAATGAAGTGTGTTAGGGAAAATAGTGAGAAAGGGTAAATGAAATGGCCTAGAAGGATGCCATTATCCTCCAACTCAGGATGGCATGGTAGGGATATTTATAAAAGGAATAAAATGCTTCACAGCAGAAGGTTGAACTTTATTGCCCTGAGATCTTGTAATGCTCGGCCTTTCTCTGGGGAATGAATTGTCGCCTGCAAAGAGCATAAACTCCCTGTCTCCAGCAAGTTAACCCAGGGATTTATTATTTTCACAGAAAAACAAAGAATTCATAAGAAAAGTTTCTCAGAATTTTCTTCGAAGTTGGAGTGCATTTGCACAAGAGGCGAGGAACCAACAGTCTGCATACAAATGGAAAAAAAAACAACAACAGAAAAATGGATGGGTACTTTTCTTTTAGTTCACCCATCTCAAGGACTCCGAGACTGTGTGGGGAGTTTTCAGGAAGGTACAATATTATAGGTGGGTTATGGTTAGTTTTAGTCTTTTATTTTACACACTAACACCCTTATACTACTGGACTTTCCCAGGAACCAATGAATGCGCATGCAAAAATAAAGTCTTGGAACCAATGAATGCGCATGCAAAAATCAAGTCTTGGAACACGGCCAAAGTCCAGAAGTGATCGAATAACCACAAATTTCCACAAGACTTTGCAGATGGTTAACACATAGAAGGAGTGGTTTCTCATGATCTTTGTTGGAAAAAAATAATTCAAAACAGCACAAGATTTACTATCCCCTAATTTATTTTTTTTAACAGTCAAGGGATGTTCCTCTCCTCTACTGCTGCAGATACTGACCTATATTTTCCTTTTCCTTGCAGGATATAGAATAGCAGCAAATCTCTCTGTCTTGAACTGCTGAAAGATTCCTGAAATGAAGTAAATACAGTTTAGATAGATTAGATTTACTTTTATAAAGACAGCATACTTTGAGATGTACAGAAAATAAGTATAATGTAGACTTAAACAATACATTGCACAATCTAATGTCTGGCATACTGTTAACTCATCAGGTACATCAATACAGAGTAAAAAAAACACATAATTGTGCACGAAAATGAATCCTTTTCACGGAAATACACAAATCACATTGTCAAATTATACTGTACATCTCTGCGCTGGAAATTCTTCTTCTTCTTTCATTTTTGTGTTCAGTTTCTTATGCTCAGATCAGACCATCAGGTGGGTTGCCTCTATGAACGCATGTCAGCAGCAGGTCCTTCATGGTTTCCTATAGCTTGCTCTGCACACTTTGTTCTTGAGGCCAGGTGTCTTTTTCTTCTTCTTCTTCGCGTTCACCAGCTGTAAACTCTGGCGGAAGGTTCTGGTTGCTCGTCCACTACTGAACTGCAGTCCTGCTTCAGAACCTGAGTGTTGCGTGTGCATCAGTTTTACAGATCTCATTCTCTTGAATACAGACTGTTGGTTCCTTGCCTCTCCGGCAGATGCACTCCGACTTCAAAGGAAGCTCCCCAATTAGTCGACTCTTACGACATGCTTTTGGGGAGGCAGTGGGTCTATTCTTGTTTTCCCCACAATGGGGTCCCGGAACCCACAAGGGGGAGGGTGTCTTTTTGAAGTTGTAGGTAGAGTGGGCAGGTATGCAGAATGTTTTGTAGGTAGAGTGGGCAGGTTTGCAGAATGTGCTTAGGTGTTCGTGGTCCTGTTTGACAGGCACACTGTGGGAACAGTACAATCTTCATTTTATGCATGTGTTAGTTGAACCTGCAGTATCCTGGTGGAAAATTGTTGTATGTTGCTTCCTGTTGAGTCTGCTGATGGGGGTCTTGTGAATGTTTACTGTTAGTTTGTTCTCTCCACAATTCCTTTTATTTTCTCTTGAATAGTGTTCTGATTTCTGGTAATGAATGGGTGTGTTGTTTTTTCTTTGTTCTATTTTTTGCAAGTCTGTCTGCCATCTGGAAATTCAAGATTAGCCATTGATTCAAATTCATCACATGTTCTTTTTTATTTACACAAAGCAAATAAGATCACATTTATTGTTAAGGCTTCAGCTAGTTTCAGTAAAGGCTTGTTCAATGTGTGGTAAATAACCCTAAAGGCCAATCCTCTTCAAACATGTGCCTAAAGTCAAGCAAATGACATCCTACTGAAGAGTTAGGTTCTCTCTTCTTGGCTGATCTTGACAAACAGATTTACAGAAAATACATTAAATGAATAATACAGGAAATAAATGATATGTTAAATTATTGTGGTAAAACAAAATATTAAAACAATTATCAATCAGCCTGGCAGCCAGAGTAGCGTAGTGGCGAGATGCTCACTTACTGATTCAAAAGTCTTCGGTTCAAATCCACATTGAGCCTGACTCCAAACCCCACCCCACCACCCCAAATAAAAAACAAAATTGTTTGGCCTTCCAGGCCAACCAACCTAACATGGGTATCAGAGAATGTGCTGAGAAGGTGGTCAGTGAGATGTTAACAAAATCACGCAACGAGTGCCAACTGGCCTATAAGAAAAATAAGTCTAACATTATATGAGACACCTGCGGAGAAATTTCCTTTATTCTACTTTTTTGAAAAATATCTTTAAACGGCTTAATGGAACTTTGCTAACAGACTTACATTCTTTCTATCAATTCTTTTTCATCTAAAGCCCCATGCAAATCTCTCTTGTTTCCCAGGACCAATACTGGAATACCCTGTAGCTGAGGCTTGTCTAGCAGGTTGTGGAGTTCATTGCGTGAGGCCTCCAGCTTGTCCCGGTCAGCTGCATCAACCATGTAACTGCAACATCAACAACGATTAAACAGTCAGCAACAGCTGCATCAACCATGTAACTGCAACATCAACAATGATTAAACAGTCAGCAACAGCTGCATCAACCATGTAACTGCAACATCAACAATGATTAAACAGTCAGCAACAGCTGCATCAATCATGTAACTGCAACATCAACAATGATTAAACAGTCAGCAACAGCTGCATCAACCATGTAACTGCAACATCAACAATGATTAAACAGTCAGCAACAGCTGCATCAACCATGTAACTGCAACATCAACAATGATTAAACAGTCAGCAACAGCTGCATCAACCATGTAACTGCAACATCAACAATGATTAAACAGTCAGCAACAGCTGCATCAACCATGTAACTGCAACAGCAACAATGATTAAACAGTCAGCAACAGCTGCATCAACCATGTAACTGCAACATCAACAATGATTAAACAGTCAGCAACAGCTGCATCAACCATATAACTGCAACATCAACAATGATTTAACAGTCAACAACATCAGTGGAAAATCAATAATGATTATAAATAGTCAACAACAGCTGCATCAACCATGTAACTGGAACATCAACAATGCCAGCTCAAAGGTCTGCTTGCATCTTCACAGAGCAAATCAGAAACATAAAACTGGCTATGGGTCTGGTAAAATAGAAAATATCCTGGAAATAAAGATGACTGCAGGATTTTGACCACATTTCCCACTGAGTATGTCTGTCTGTCTACCTGTATGTATGTAAGTATGTACGCTAGCATGCATGTATACATGTATACATGTGTGTGTGCATGTGTAGTAACACATGCAAGCCCACCTGTTCAACCCTTACTTACACGTACATAAGTATGTATGTACACTAATGCACACATAAGTTAGTGAAAAGCTTCATAAGAGCAGTCATGAGGCAGACCAAGAAGAGGAATAATATACAGACCACCACATACTTGAAGTCACCAGCTAGAAAGAGGCCAATCATAGAGATGTAAGGAGGTATGAGATATGTGCAGCAACGAACCTCAAGGGCTTGAAATGCTAAAGAAGAAGATGGAAAAGAAAACAGGATGTCCAAGAAGCAATTACACATTGGCAAGCGGGAACACTGATGTTCAGACATACATAGAGAAGAAGAGAAATGTTGAGAATAGAGGATAGCAGTTCAAATTATTTCAACAACAGATGATGATTTTTCTAGGAGTGCCACAATACATTCACCAGAATAGCAGAAGAGGTAACAGTAAGTACAATTAATAGCAACTGGCCGATAGGTAGGTTTACTGTCTTTAGTCAAGGCTAGTTTTTGTTTCTGATAAAAGTTGGCTGTTGCTTTCTCCTCCCCAGGTAGACTGAAAGGATACAGTTCTGTCACCCAGCTACTGAGCTGACTGCATGGTGCGACACTATGAGTTGTAGATTTTATTTGCAACGTTTTTCGTCTGTGCTCAACATGGTTTGTGCTAACTGCAGTTTCAGAAAAGTGTGAATGGTCTGTTGCCAGAGAACTTGTGTTGCCTTATGTGACTAACTGCATGTGCAACTACTCATTAGTTGTAACTGCTGCTTCCATCAACAATGAACCACATTTCTAGTGTTCAGCTGTTTGTGTGGGCATTTAAAATGTATAATTCCATTAGAAGTCACACAGGGCTTTCAGTCTAGTTATATGTTCCACTCTATCCTTACAATCACTTTGAATTCATGGATGTAATCCAGTTCAGCACCTTTGGCTTCTCTCATTAACATTCACTTTAGGGTTTCTCTTGGATTTCCTCATGTCCTCAGTCCCTCAATTTTCCATTGCAGCATCTGTTTGGTGATTCCCTGTCCCTCTCTTTCCAGCATGTGTTTAAAATAGTGCCATCTTCTCTGTCTTATAACTACTGATACTACTAGTGTAATCAATTTCCTCAATCCCTCTATTTCTCATTTCAGTGTCTGTTTGGTGATTCCCTGTCCCTCATTTTCCAGGATGTGTCCCATATAGTGCCATCTTCTCTGTCTTACAACTACTGATACTACTAGTGTAATCAATTTCCTCAATCCCTCTATTTCCCATTTCAGTGTCTGTTTGGTGATTCCCTGTCCCTCTTTTTCCAGGATGTGTCCCATATAGTGCCATCTTCTCTGTCTTATAACTATTGATACTACTAGTGTAATCAATTTCCTCAATCCCTCTATTTCCCATTTCAGTGTCTGTTTGGTGATTCCCTGTCCCTCTTTTTCCAGGATGTGTCCCATATAGTGCCATCTTCTCTGTCTTATAACTATTGATACTACTAGTGTAATTCAATCCCTCTACTTCCCATTTCAGTGCCTGTTTGATTATTCATTGTCCCTCTCTTCTCAGGACATGTGCCATATAGTGCCATCTACTCTGTCTTACAACTACTGATACTACTAGTGTAATCAATTTCCTCAATCCCTCTATTTCCCATTTCTGTGTCTGTTTGATGATTCCTTATCCCTCTCTTCTCAGGATGTGTCCAAGATAGTGCCATCTTCTCTGTCTTATAACTAACTATTGGTGTAATCAATTTCCTCACTTCTTCAATCCCTCTACTTCCCATTTCAGTGCCTGTTTGATGATTCCCTGTCCCTCTCTTACCAGGATGTGTCCCATATAGCGCCATCTTCTCTGTCTTCTAACTATTGATACTACAGGTGTAATCAAATTACAAAATTTAATTTCTCTAATTAGTTTAATAAAAGACGATAAAACTATATAAAATTTTTTGAAAACAGAGTCTTACAAAGAAACTTTGGACTCATCCGAGATGCAAACAGCGGGGAATGGAGAGTGAGAAGCAACAACAAAATTCATTATCATTTTAAATCACCACTGATCATTGGCATCATGAGAGCTAATAGACTGAAATGGCTAGGGCATACTGAGAGAATGTCAGGTGACAAAGAGGCAAAAAGTGTATACACGAGAAAGATAAATGAGTGAAGGCGGGTGATATCTGCAGCAATGAACCTCAAGGGGCAGAATGTGGAAGCAGAAGAAGAATCAGTTTAATTAGCTCAAACAAAGACAGCCTTTTACAAAATGAAGAATATTTTATGTAATCTTTCTATGTCAATTTAGACGAGAGAGAGAATTCTTAAAAGCTATATAAATCCTATCTTGATATATGGAAGTGAATCATGGACAGTTGGTAGATAAGTGAAAAATTATGTGGACGCTGCGGAAATGTGGTTTTATATATGGATGATGAGAACACCCTGGACAGTAAAAAGAGTAATGAGGATGTCTTGAAAGAAACTGACCCACGAAGAGAACTGATTGCCCACATCAGAAGGAGACAGTCTGCATTCTTTTGTCATGTCATGAAAAGGAGAAAACTGGAGTACACCATGACAGAAGGAAGTTGGAGGGGAAGAGAGGCAGAGGGAGAGAGATAAAAGATGCTGCACAGTTTGACATAATGGCATGGAAGATCACCTGTGTCAGAGCTGATTCAAAGTACATGAGACAGAAGGCTGTGGAAAGACATGAACACCAACGCCACATGGCAGGGATTTTAAGAAAAAAATTAATTATTTTAATTTTTAGTTTTTATATATTCTGAGGAATACTGCCTCATCTGTTTTTCTGTCAGCCCCTGATATTTGTATTTTGCTCAGGAAACCAGAAAGAACCAAAGAATAACTGTATGCAACAAACATTTACTTACACGATTGCATTTACTCCCCTGCAATATCTTTCCCACATGCTCCGGAACCGAGGCTGTCCACCTATATCCCATAACTGAAAACAAGAACAGCATAGCAAATTCAATCTCAGTTTTCGAGATACTGACATTATAGCTTCATTATACAGTATAACCTCATTAACATGAAATTGATTAAGATGAACACTCGATTAACATGAATAACATTTTGGTCCTAGCAAGGATGTATCATTAGCCAATTGAGGGCTAATGAGGGTAGATGGTGCCGAGAGTTGTACAATTATGATGCAACGGCAGTTTAATATGTTGAACAGGCATTAAAATAGTTCATTAATAATTTTGCATCCTTATAGGTTTGGTCACGAACATATGGTTGCTAAGGTATGGAAACAAAAAAGTTACAGTAATTGTAGTTTAAAAATTTGTTTCTCAAAGTAGTTAAAAAGTGTTTTCCTCCATTATATTATTTACGTAATTTACTTTCAAAATTAATATTTTAGTTTAGAATTGACAAAGAGCAGGGCTATTCAATTGGAGGCCTGAGGGCCAAATCTGGCCCTCAAAGGTATAGCAAGTGGCCCGCGGATCATTGCCAGTTGTACTATATTAATGATCTGTCTAAGCTGGGGCTTCAGCCTCTAGCTCGTGGCGATACAAATTTTCAAAATGTTGGCCACTGAGAAAATTTAGTTGAATACTCCTGACATACAGGCTTGAATGACATGCCGTTGGATTTCATTTGCCAAGTGGAATCCAACTACACTAGTTGCATTATTTATAAATAATTTAAAAAATCTGACTAAAGTACCAGAGTATTATCCATAATATATCCATTAGTCCCCACTTACCAAAAACATTTAAAAACAAGAGTTCTTGATTTGTCAGCCACTTGGAATTCACATTAACATGGTTTGCTGTAGTATTTTATTCAGCAATATTTCATAAAGAAAGCTGCAGTGGTGTAGCAGCTAAATGCTCACCTTGAGCCTGAAGGTTGTAGGTTCAAATATGCAGCACGCTGGATTTTTTTGAACAAATTACCTTGGCTTCCAGGTCAATCCTGCCTAAAACAGATACCTGATGAAGACCTGGGAAGTAAAGGCAGCCGGCATGATGCTGACCACATCACCCGCATAGTGCCAAATACAGGTCCAGCATTACATCTCCAATAAGCCTGAAGGTGTGGAAAAGGGTCCTGTTCTTGACTTTAGTACATCATAGAAGCTTAGAAATATCTTCTTCTTCTTCGCTTTCACCAGCAGTAAACTCTGGCGGAAAGTTCTGGTTGTTCATCTACCCCTGGACTTTAGTCTTCTCCCCAGAAGCTGAGTGTTGCCTGTACATCCGTTTTACAGATCTTACATATCTGTAAGCAGACTGTTGATTCCTTGCCTCTCTGCCAGATGCATTCTGACTTCGAAGGATGCCCCTAGTTAGTCGACTCTTACGACATGCTTGTTGGGGAGGCAGCGGGCCTATTCTTTTTCCCTCACAATGAGGCCACAGAATCCAGAGTTTAGAAATATGAAAAACAAAGACAGACAACAGTCAGCTGAGCAAGCATGTGGACAACAGAGATACATGAAGAGTGTGAGAGAGATCAACATCAGTGCATAAAGATAAACAAAAAACAGTTACCTTAATTGTCACATTGCCTTTTGTGATTTTCCTCATGTTGAAGCCCACTGTTGGGATCATGTCTTCACTAAACTGGCCAGACTGGTGGGAATGTGTACATGAGAAATGTTATGCACATGAGACATGCTAAATTTTAGGCATGAGAAAATAAAGACGTACATGAGAAAAATAACACTGGACAGATAAAGGTCCCTTTACACACCAATGGTGCATTGGGCATACGAGGCTAGACCAATTTTATAGACCAGTTAGCCCTTAAGAGGTGATGTGGTCAACGTCACAACAGCCACCTTTACTTTTCAGGTCCTGACCTGATACCATTTAAGGCTGGTTCAACCTGGGATACAGTCATGATTTAAACAAATCTGGCTTCTTTAACCTTTGGATCTGCAGCTGAACGTCTAGCCACTACACAATTTTCCCGACCATATAAGCTTTCTACAGTCTACCCCATTCTATATATAATTCTTACATTCCAGGTGCTAACTGATAAATTTCTGGCACTATTCCGAATACTGGTCTCGAATTATTCAATGTTAAAAAAATCCCATTCAGGGCCTCAAAAGGTCATATATTTTAATTTTACAATCTGGAATAGGAACATTATGAGCTATGCTTCGCTTTATTATATAATAGTTGTAAATATTCCACCTGTCACGCGGGAGACCTGTGTTCGATTCACCGCTGAGTGATAACTTTTTTTTGCCCTTAAAAGGGCAGTTAGCACAATGTGGTGTGGTTTACAGCTAGGCTGCGAAATATGCGCCTTTCGCCCCAACACATCGGATTTCAGCAATTATGGCAATATTTTTCCAGATCTGAGTGTGTAGGCACCTATTAACTCTTTCAGTCCTAAGGAACACATCATACGTTCATAGATTCCTACTTAAAAGCACAGTGAACACAAGATTGGTCAATTAAAATTTCTTTTTAGTAAACCTTTGGCTTCTGGTGCTAAACCCCCCTGGGTTTGAAATAGAGTTTGTGTAGTGTATACCATTTTTTTTCCCACAAAGAAAACCCCCAAATGTAACAATACTAATGTTAAATTAAGAATCAACATCACAGTAGTCGGGACACCCCCATAAACACTACAGGCTCATCTTCATCAGCAAGCGAAGAGTTAAAATTACCATGCTACCAGTAACTGTCTGATTGTATACCCGTCTTAAAAATACTAAGCAAACAGAATGCAAGAGCCTATGTTGTCCAGTTTTAATAGTTCTATTTTATGTAACTACGTTAATATAAATCAGAGTACACAGCCCCGGTAACGCCCAGATAAAGACGTGGTTTTGGTAAATGTGTATTGCGAGTCAAGAGTGAACAGTTTTTACACCGTATAAATTAAAAATATGTGGGGAAAATGCACCAAGTACATCCATTCATGAGAGTAAATATATCAAAAGGTTTCCCATTTGTTCACGTCAGTGACAGTTTTTCTGCATCTGTGACAATAATAAAGTCATACAGAAAGAACAGAACACCCCAAAAAATGTCGCAAACATTGAAGAAGAAAATAAGAATATATACTTACTGCTATCACATTAACGAATGTCGTTTTTCCTGAATACTGAAGCCCTACCAGGGTTAACTCCATTTCTTCCTTCCAGAAGAGGCTTTTAAACCAGTCGAGAACTCGTTGAAATAATGACAGCATCCTGACGATTGTGGTCCGCTAGAGAAGAGACGGGGACGATGCTCAGTCAATTAATCAAGTGAAGAGTGATGTTCCCCCAAGGCAGACGTACCAATAACAGGAAGGGATAACAGCGCGGTCATGTGACTGCTGTGTCAAGGCTCTTCGTGGGAGAGTCTAAGATACGAGACGTGTAAAAAAATAATATGTTTCTTCTTTTGTCCTTCTGCCAGGGCCGGACGGAGACTTCATGAGACCCTAAGCCATATAAAATCATGAGGCAATACTGTCTTAAATTACACCAGCTAATATAGTGTCGTTTAATTATTTTTTAAACAAATATTTATAAAAATGTAGAAGTGGTATTTTTTTTAAATATCATGTTCAACCCTAAGTGTTATAATTGTGATACATATAATGTTAATTGCGTTCTCATAGTATATATCTGTTACTTTAAATTTCAGTGTCGTAGTTTTTCTGTATTTGTCTTGCGATTCTCGGGTGGCTTGAGTAAATTGGATTTGTTCATCTTTTTTGGAGGTTTCAGCTACACCAATTATCCATTCCTTTCTTGGTCTTCCTCTGACCTTCCTCCCAGATGTTCTGTAAAAAGTCTCATATGCAGTCCGGTCTGGCTGAATTTTAACTTAATGGCTGAACCATTTCATTATTTGTCTGTCAATACAATCCAGACGTTGTCTTATTTCAACGTTCTCTCTATTGCTGGTATTCGAAACCCTGTCTAATAATAATTCAATGTTTCTTGAGTAGTAGCAATCAAATACACCACTGCCGGCTTGCTAGGCCCATCGTGTGGGGGAGCTGGGAAAAAACTCTGACCCGGCTGTTGCCCGTCTCCTTCCAGGCGAGATATTGTCCCTTTGACCTGTAACCTTGCGGCTTCAGTTTTCCGGCGTGCAACACGAGGAGGTGGGCTTGACCTGGGTGCTCTACGGGTCATTGGCGGGCTACTTAAATTTCATTTTTCATCTCTCCGAAGAAAAGCTAACCAACCGTAACACTGCTGGCTGCAGTGCAAAGCTCCTGAGCACGAGCTTATACGCCAATTATTTGTGAACAAAATGTAATTTGTTTTGTTTCACATTTTGGTTTGATTTGGGTTCAGATTAGTGTAACAGGGCCAGAAAGCCCCATAGTACTACTATTAAAAAAATGAGGAAAGAAAATAGGAAATAGATAGATTCGTTCAGGTGGGGGCTAGAAACAATAATATTCTAGTCCAGGCATTAGATCTTCTGTGTAGAGTCTAATAAGTCAGGTAATAATAAACTAAATTAAAAACATAAAACTGTACTAGGAAACTACTAAGCACACTAACTAGAAGTCCTAAGCTGAAGGAAACAACTGTAACTATGAATACAACGTTGAACATAATTTTATTGAACTTCACATCAGCATGGCCAAAAAGTAACGACATAAACGACCACGTGCTGAAACAAAACCTCAAACATACAGCAATTTACCATTTAACTATTCCTTGTCTAGAATACCAATGAAAATCTATTTTAACCAACTAACCACTGAACGTACCCTTGACTGCCATCAGTCCGACCACGAACGTTACCTGTGGTCGCCATGCCCATAGACCAGCCCATTGTGCAAAGCATCAGTCTTCTTGGGTCAGGCTTCCACAGTTTGGTCCGGAAGTCGAATAGATCGCTGCGAGACTAGACAAAATCTTTTATACCCAGTGAGCCAGATTTTTACCCATCTTTCGTATACTTTATTAACTGCCAATGTTTCCCAAAAGGCCGGTTAGCATTTTTAAACCAGGATAAACCTCTCAAAGACCTTTAATCTGTTGTCTTGTAGTCTTCGTCGCTTCCACCCTACTACACGTCGGATTATTATTTTTGTTGACGTCCCGGCAACCACACAATATGTAACATCAATTGTCTAAAAATCATCCCCCAACTCCTGTTATACATCCAACAGAGTTACTGGTCATAGCCACCTGAAATAAAATTATCCCCTGACATTATGTACTCACTAGTTGCTTGCAGTATCATTAATAACATTCACCCAAAAATAGCTGACATCGATATATGATCAAAGCATGACTCGTCCCAAGGAAACTGGATAAGGAACGTATAAGTCCCAAATAAGAAATTACAAAGATGGCAGTAGTCATGAAACATCCAGTGAACATTTGCGTTCGAGTTTCAGCTACCATCTGCAAAATCACTACAAATCCCCCCTCTACATCAATAATGGCGATATCATCGGAACACGTTAGCGTGTGCGCTTTGGTCCGAGACACCATCAGAGTAGAACAAACCCCCAATTAATCCGCTCCTCGCTAGAACAATGCGTTAAACACATATCAAATCACTACTAAAACACAACAAGCAAAACCTAAAATAAAATAAAAAAACATGTTACTGCAATAAAACATAGTAATCAGTTAACATCCGGATTCTTGATCAGTTGGATTTCCTCTCCGACGTCCAGTAATTCTCCGTAGATAAGTTGTCATATTTGATACCTCAGCCGCAGGGCTTACAATGGACATTTTCGTTTACTACCTCGGCCAAAGGCCTACAAAAGACATTGTCTCGGCCGCGTGGCCTTGGAGAGACGTAACAGACTCTTGTCTCGGCCGCGTGGCCCTCGAGAGACATATCGGACATTACCTCGGCTTTGGCATAGCCTACAATTACCTCGGCTTTGGCATAGCCTACAAACGGACATTTTCGTTTACTACCTCGGCCAAAGGCCTACAATGGACATTGTCTCGGCCGCGTGGCCCTCGAGAGACATAACACACTCTTGTCTCGGCCGCGTGGCCATCAGAGACATATCGGACATTACCTCGGCCTCATGGAAGGCCTACAATTACCTCGGCTTTGAAAAAGCCTACAATGGACTGATCGGACACGTTACCACTTTTGCCAATGTCTCGGCCGCTCGGCCATCAAGAGACAATCCTCTCGTCACTGCCAACACCGCTTGGCTTCGAAGTGACATTCAACAATTACCTCGGCCGAAGCCTACAATGGACTGATTGGACACGTTACCACTTTTGCCAATGTCTCGGCCGCTCGGCCATCAAGAGACAATCCTCTCGTCACTGCCAACACCGCTTGGCTTCCAAGTGACATTCAACAATTACCTCGGCCGAAGCCTACATGAGAATGGAACGAAATTACCTCGGCCGAAGCCTACAATGTTTCAACTGGTACCAGCAATGTTAAAAAACGTCATTGCTTAAGTGGCTCGGTCGGTGTACTTTAAACAAGGCTCCCTACTATACAAACAGACCTACAGTTAAACCTTGATGTGGAGACATAAATCAAGATAAACTGACCCCAAGTTCAGGTCGAGACGTAAACAAGTCACTCCGTGGACAATAGACAAAACCACTCCTAGTCGACAATAGACACTGACCACTCCTAGTTAACTTAACAATAGACGCCGACTACTGCTAGTGAAAACAAAACTAACATCTGGTCACACAATAAAACTACACAGGCTGAACCTACACAAGTCCTAAACCAAATTAAAATCAAGACGCGATAATCTGAGCCGTCTAGACCTGGCTAATTAAATTACTCCACAACGCTACTCATCCGTGAACAAGATGATATAAAACCTAACTATGAACAACCCAAGTCTTCGATAACGAAACCACACACTTGGGCGAACATATTTAAAGTCTGAAACAAAAGAGCACGTGGGCGCCATAAAAACCGAATTTAAAATTAAAAAATCACTACTATTACCTGCACAAACTAGAACTCCTGTGTGAATTAAATCCTGTCACATCTAACTAAACAAATATCAACAAAAGACTGCAATATAGAAGCCCCACAAGTTGGGCGCCATTTAAAAATCAATCTAAACTATAAACTACTATTATTACTTGAACTAACTAGGCTAGACACAAATTATCTAATAGCCACCAAAATCCTTGCCAGACGACGCCATTTGTAACAGGGCTAGAAAGCCCCATAGTACTAATATTAAAAAAAGAGGAAAGAAAATAGGAAATAGATAGATTCGTTCAGGTGGGGGCTAGAAACAATAATATTCTAGTCCAGGCATTAGATCTTCTGTGTAGAGTCTAATAAGTCAGGTAATAATAAACTAAACTAGAAAACATAAAACTGTACTAGGAAACTACTAAGCACACTAACTAGAAGTCCTAAGCTGAAGGAAACAACTGTAACTATGAATACAACGTTGAACATAATTTTATTGAACTTCACATCAGCATGGCCAAAAAGTAACGACATAAACGACCACGTGCTGAAACAAAACCTCAAACATACAGCAATTTACCATTTAACTATTCCTTGTCTAGAATACCAATGAAAATCTATTTTAACCAACTAACCACTGAACGTACCCTTGACTGCCATCAGTCCGACCACGAACGTTACCTGTGGTCGCCATGCCCATAGACCAGCCCATTGTGCAAAGCATCAGTCTTCTTGGGTCAGGCTTCCACAGTTTGGTCCGGAAGTCGAATAGATCGCTGCGAGACTAGACAAAATCTTTTATACCCAGTGAGCCAGATTTTTACCCATCTTTCGTATACTTTATTAACTGCCAATGTTTCCCAAAAGGCCGGTTAGCATTTTTAAACCAGGATAAACCTCTCAAAGACCTTTAATCTGTTGTCTTGTAGTCTTCGTCGCTTCCACCCTACTACATTAGGGTAGAAATTGTATGATAAATAATTAGACAGTCTGACTAAAATTGTATCAGTAGTGAATATATTGATTCCTTATTGTGCTATCACTAATTATTCTCCTCGATTTTATCTTCAGGGGAAATTTCTTCAAAGATGTAATGGGTATTATTCACCCTGCTATATATACTGTGTGTTGTTGTTTGTCCATCAGGAGGCATGAAAACCACTATTCGTCCAAAGTAGTAGTGATTCATTATTATGAGTACGAATGTGGCTTATTAGTCCAACATGAGCCTGGAAAGGTCTTAAGCAGTAGGGACTACTGGTTGAAGCCGCAGTAAGTGTGGGATTTTCGATACGGTTC